ACTCACTGCAACCTCCGCCTCCTGGGTTCAGGCAATTCTCCTGCCTCAGCCTCCTGAGTAGCTGGGATTACAGGCACGCGCCACCATGCCCAGCTAATTTTTTGTAGTTTCAGTAGAGACGGGGTTTCACCATGTTGACCAGGGTGGTCTCGATCTCTTGACCTCGTGATCCACCCGCCTTGGCCTCCCAAAGTGCTGGGATTACAGGCGTGAGCCACCACGCCCGGCCCATGGCACTGATTTCTTAACTGACAGATGGTAGAAGTAGGTGTGTGTACAGGTTCAGTCAAACCTGTGTTTTGATTTCTTTTCATGCTACCCATCCCCTAGCGTGGAGCAGCCTGGGTCCAGGGCGACTGAGCAGAAAACAGTGTTTTCACACGAGTGTGGCAGCTCACACTTGTAATTGCAGCACTTCAGTAGGCCAGGGGAGCGCTTGAGGCCAGGAGTTTGAGACCAGCCTGGGCCACATGGCAAGACCCCCCTTCCACAAAATATAAAACCTGTTTTTGTCTCCTTTTTCCAGAGGAATGTTGGGTCCTCACAATTCAAAACAATTGAAGATGACTTGGTGTCTGCCCTTGTCCGGTCGGGCTGTATTCCTGAAAATCACGGCGAGGACATGAGGAAGATGTCCTTCCAGCGCTGCGCCCGGACTGACAAGGTGGGTGGCGCCTTCTCCACCCTCCCCCGTGGGCGGGAGCAGCACCCGGCCCACGCTCTGCCCCAGCGTCTTGGTTTGTTAGGCCTCTTCTGAGCACGTGTGAGGCACAAATCAAGCCAGCCCACGCCTCATGCAGACGAGGCGTCCCGGAGCCTGGCCAGCTCAGGCGTAGCTGATCTGGTGCTCCCGCCAGCAGGACTGCGTGCGGTCTCTGGTCTTTGCCCTCTCTCGTGTTGCCTGTGTTCTCAGGGACACACATTCCTGCCACTGGCACAGTGGTGGCCCCAGCATCTGCCTTCCGCCCTCCAGTCAGGTGCACTCCAAGGCAGATGCAACCGTGTGGCAGTAGGGCGGAGAGTCACACTTATATGACGCAACGTTCTCTTTTCCTTCTTTAGTGTTTTAGAGCCAGGGAGGGTCTCATTCTGTTGCCCAGGCCGGAGTGCAGTGGCATGATCACGGTTCCCTGCAGCCTCGAACTCCTGGGGTCAAGCAGTTCTGCCTCAGCCGCCTGAGTAGCTGGGTGTTTCCATCTGTTTTCACACTGCTGTAAAGAACTGCCTGAAGTTGGTCAATTTATAAAGAAAAGAGGTTTCTGCCAGGGACAGTGCTCACACCTGTAATCCCAGCACTTTGGGAGGCTGAGGCGGGTGGATCACGAGGTCAGGAGTTCAAGACCAGACTGGCCAACATGGTGAAACCCCGTCTCTACTAAAAAATACAAAAATTAGCTGGGCATGGTGGCTTGTGCCTGTAATCTCAGCTACTTGGGGGACTGAGGCAGGAGAATTGCCTGAACCGGGACCCAGGAGGCGGAAGTTGCAGTGAGCTGAGATCAGGCCACTGCACTCCAGCCTGGGCCACAGGGCGAGACTCCATCTCAAAAAATAAATAAATAAAGGAATAGAGGTTTCATTGACTCAGCTCCGCTGGCTGGGAGGCCTCAGGACACTGATGATCGTGGTGGCAGGCGAGAGAGTAAGGAGGGTCGTGGGGAGAGCCCCTTACAAAACCGTCTCACTGTCGCGAGAACAGCATGGGTGATGGGTGAACCGCCCCCACCACCCAGTCACCTCCCAGCAGCTCTTTCCCTAGACACACGGGAGTCACCATTCAACAGGGGGTTTGTGTGGGGACACAGCAAAACCGTGTCACTGCCACTGCAGGCACTCCACCTTGCCTGGCTAATTTTTTTTTTTTTTTTTTGGTAAAGATGGCATCTTGCTATGTCGTGCAGGGTCCACTCCCGGGCTCCAGTGATCGTCCCACTGGAGGTCCCGAAGTGCGGGGAGACACAGGCATGACACATTTGGCTCGAGATTAACAGTTCCCTTTTTGTAAACTCAGCATGTTGAGGATATCCTCGTTTCAGTGCGTCATCACGGTGAGACTCTGTTCATGGGACCCATGGGATATTGTCTGCGCGTGCGAGTCCACACCCCTCACGCCTCCGCCACCCTGGCCCTGCTGCATGGTCTCAGCTGCCCGGGCCGGTGACCCAGCTCTGTCCGTTCAGAAGCACAGGGCTGAGTACCCGTTTCCTGTTGGTTTTTGCACCCACCCTGGATGCTGCTGCTGGTCTGTGACGCCACATTCCTGTGCTCGGGGCTGAACCACGGGATGAGCTGTGGGCAGTGGCTCGCCACAGGGAGTGGCGCTGTCTCTGGGGAGGTCCCAGCATTTGGGCAGATAGGGACAGCAGAGCCTGAGAGAACAGGTAGCTTTTCTGTTGGTTTGTTTGTTTCTTTTTTTTGAGATGGAGTCTCACTCTGTTGACCAGGCTGGAGTGCCATGGCGCCGTCTTGGCTCACTGCAAACTTAGCCTCCTGGGCTCTAGTGATTCTCCTGCCTCACTCAGCCTCCCAAGGAGCTGGGATTACACACACCCGCCACCATACCCAGCTAATTTTTGTATTTTTAGTAGAGTCGGGGTTTTACCAGGTTGGCCAGGCTCGTCTCGAACTGCTGACCGTGGGTGACCCACCCACCTCGGCCTCCCAAAGTGCTGGGATTACAGGCATGAGCCACCGTGCCCGGCAACAGGTGGCTTTTCTGTAGCACAGAGCAGGCATCAGCGAATGTGATTCCTTCATCCTTGCTCTCCCGAGTGCCTGGCCCTGTCACAGGGCCCTCAGGCCACCTGAGAGGACGAGGGGTGTATCAGAGGCCTCACTTGTTACAGCTCAGGGTCCTCCGGGCATCCGAATGAAGCTATGGTTCTCGTTCCCACAGACGCCTGCTTTCAAGGGCACACAGATCCCTGGCGAATCCAGGGCCTGTACCGGAGCCATTGTCCAGAGGGGAGAACAGAGAGAGACCACACATTCACTTTTATTAGCTGGCCTGTGTGGCAGCACATGCCACGTGGTCCATGCCCACACTCCTGTTTCCCTTCCAGTAGGTGGTGATGACGCATCTGGCGGCTCAAGGTGGAGAGCTCTGTGGGGCTTGCTTACTGTCTCGTTTTCTTTTTTTTTT